GTCTCATCAATACAAACTAACGTCGTTCGCAAACAACAACTGCACCACGGTACCTCATCTTGTAGGTGTATATATATATATATATATGTGTGTGTGTGTGTGTGTGTGTGTGTGTGTGTATTTTATTTTCTTAATGTAAAGTTATTTAAAAAATTGAGAAATCCGTAATCCATGTTTTAGTATTATCTCTACATACACAATGAGAATTCTCTAGCCTAAAGTCCTATGATAAGAAGGGAAAAATGAGATTGAAGGACCATCATAAGAGCTGTACTTAGGAATTGCTTCAGCCCTAATCAGATGGAGGTAGGGCGATTTTACTAAGAACTGCCTGGTTCCAATCAACCCTAGCAATTCCCCTCTTCGAGACTATCTGTGACCAATGAGCCCCCCACCTCCAAGCTGACAAGGCCAATGCCGAGTCGTTTTGCCAGTTTTCAACCACTAATGCAAACCACGACATTGAAAAACGGAAAACAAAAAAGTCGTCTACAGGTGGTCATTAGATAGAAATTTTCAAAAAGCAAAAAAGTAGCACAAAATCAAAGAAGTTGGGTTAAAAAATTGAAAAACATTAGAAACTTCCCTCAAATTATGATCCTGCCCCCATTTTCAGCAGCATTGCAATCCGCTTCTAAAGCAATGAAGATCCCCTTTAGACCGGGATTGAGATCCTTATAAGATAGGGTTCGAGACTTCGAGCTCCCTTGATGGAGGAAGCGAGCTCAGCTTGGGCTCCTGCTTTGAGATCGTGGGACCGAGATTCCGAGGGGAGGTTGCTACGCCCCAACCAAGGTCCCTGCATCTATAGTTTTACCATTTTAGTTCTATGGATTTAAACTGAAATTTTAATTGTTAGTTTAGTAACAAACTCATTTATGAACAATAAACCTTTCTATGAACTTGCTACTTTATTAATTTCAATGAAAAGTAACTCTGTAACTTACTATCCAGTTTCTATAACATGCTTAAGAAAGTTATGCCAAGTTACATAGAAGTGGTATTTGCCGTTTCACATATCATGTCCTCCATAAATGTTTTCGCTTCCCAAGTTCAACAAATCAGCTATCACAGAATGCACTTCAAAAGACAAAAACCAACACAAATCGACCATTTCTGTGCTAATAAATATGTCATCAACATATGATTGTGATCAGTGCAATAAGGATAAACACATGGACTTTTCATGTGCAATAAAAGCTCCGTAGGTCCTCACCACAATGTGTGGCTTTCATAATCGCATTGCTTAGAGTGGGAACAACTGAGCACATAGCTGCAACCACCTGTAACTTGACAAATTGCACAACATGACTCTATTAGTATGCTTTGATGACGACAACAGCAGGGGCATAAAAAAACATTCTTATAAAGCTTTAGTCAGAAATGTCACTATCCTTACTGTAATTCTATAGATATCATATCTTGGAATACAGTTAAAAAAACGCCTTGACCCTGCACCTGATACTTTCTTAAATCTGGGTGTTCAAATAGATACAAACATAAATAGAAGCATGCAAGACCACAATGATCTGTTCAAACTGGTATACCAATTGGGAAGATTCGCTGCTGTTATTCTATAGAGATCATGGTCTTAGTAGAGATCATGGCTTTGAATACAATAAAAAGACTGGATTGACTGAATGCCTGGCAGTTTTACTGTTTTAGTGTGTGGGAGTTTGAATAGGTACAAACAAATATCAAAACATTCAGGGCCACAGAAAGTTCTTAAAACTGATAGATGAACTGGTAAGATTCATCTTGTCAAACTCCAGCACATTAACCATCCATTTACTTGTTTGTTTTGATAATTAATTTTCTCAATACCTTCTAGCATGGATCTTCTAGGGTGATCTTTCACTATTTTATATAATAAAAACCATGTGATTCCAAAAGGATCAACTTCTAGAACAGGATTTTCTAGATCAAAGTAGGATATGCTGAGATTAAGAAATTCAGTTTCATAACTCGAAGTAAATATAGGAAAGGTAAACAGTTGGCACAAACCACCTTGCATCATAGAGGGAGGATCTTGTGGCAAGAATATTATAGGCACATTCAAGTGGACAATTCAGAATCCAGTATGCGAACACTGTACAGCCAGTGTAACTGGCCCAAGTGATGTTGTGGTAAAGATGTTACAACAATATCATGCAATCTTTGAAGATCACAATCATAAATCATGGTCAGAATTTCGGTTACAAAATTGAAGTTCCAAAAATTTATACATCCACTTGAACCAATATCTTAGAATATTGTGGAAGCAACATTTTGCTGGGTGAAACACAGTTTTTTGGGAGACTAGAACTTTGGTCATAGTGTCCACTTGCTAAATTGCTTTCTTAAAAAAAAAATTATCAAATTGGAGAAGCAGTTGCACGGCCACTTGCCAACAAGAACAGCCTCTAAAAGAATGGTATTTGGTTAAGTATAATCATAGTTTTTGAGTTGATTCTCTAACAATGGCTACAAAGTCCATTTTTTTACACATGATGGCCGGAACAACAAATACAGTGACAATAATTGTTGTATGCCCATGAAATTTCGAGAAGCCCATTAACAATGAACCACTCACATCTCAGATTACCCTTATATCTCCTGGAATAGCCCAGATTCAAACTTGCTGTTGCCTTCCAAATTAATTATGGGAGGTGGTGATCATCGAACAAGAACCACTTTGGTTGCATCGTAGGCCATCCTTCCAAAGTCTAAAGCTTATTCACATTAAAATAGAAAATATTTGACAAGAAACAGAAAGCCACATGCTTGCATAAGACATACAATTTGAGCCACTTTTCCTCATATTCCACTTGAAATTTGGCTCGGTTATCTACAGACTCATTATTTATCTGATTTTTAACATACCAGGTTTTCCATGAGGTAAACAACAAAGTCACTATGTTTGACAAATTGAAGTGTTTGTTTGCAATCTTATTTCCATACAAGCAAAAATAGAGTTCAACTAATTAGAGAAAATGTACTCTGTATTCAGATCAATTAGTCAGATATTCCACCTTTTTAGTTGCAGAACTTTTTCCAAAAACAAATGCACAACTATCTTCTCCAATCCAAAACATTTTCAACTAAAAACATATTAGTATCACCCACCACAATACTTCCATACACCAGTTGCCTAAAGAACAACAACTTGGATGGATCCATAATCCAGCCAAATTCATTTTCTGACATAACTTGGCTCTCTCAACCTGATGATGAGGAGAGCATTCCACTAGCTTCCTATCTATAAATATAATTTTGTTCTATTGAAATTGTAGATAACTCTCTACTTCAAAGCAATCACAAATATCATTTCAAACAAAAATTTACCGCCAATCAAACTTCAAAATTCTGTAAAAATATGAATCTGAGAGATAAAGCTCTTAGCTTTCAAATGCCTGATCTCATCCAATTCAATACAGTTTGCCTAGTCAAATATTCAATCTACAACAACTTCACAGTGTTGACTGCGCCACTCCGATCTCAAAAGATTTCTAAATGGTTAAGTTCATCAGAAGATAATAAGTTGCACATAACCAATTTGAGCCTTCAACATTGACTTATAATATCTCAATATCGTCGAGAATATTTACAAAATCTCAAATAAAAATGCTTCATGATCTGGGAATATAATAACTCCAAAATTACTTGAGATGCAATCCAGAGATCCAGAGCAACAACCACAAAGTCTGTGTTATAGCTATTATTCCTCTCCTTACATCCAATTATAGAATGCAAATCAAGAGATGATGAGGAATTACCCAAATGTTTGGTCTTGATTTAGATTATATACCAGATGCTCCATGGACCAACTGACTGCATAGATTTACAGCTCCATGCCATAACCCTTTCAGAATACTTTTGTGAGGACCACCCTTTTACGTCTACAGTACAAACATGAAGAAGACTCTATAAAATTAAACATTATCTCACCCTCAGATAGAATTGCAAACTAATTCAGAGACATAACTATCTTCCTTAGGAATTCGATTCAACTGATTTGAATAGACAATTAAATCATTGCATTGCCATTTGTACATTGTACAACAAAGAGTAGGTCAAAAAGTTGGTATTTATGCTTGGATAAACATGAAACTACCACTGAGAACCTAGAGAGTATTCTTCTTTAGAGTTGACCATCTAGTTGTTATCTGCTTGGCCACTCCATGATATTGGATTCCCTCTCAAAACGCCTCTCCCATCCAAAGGAAAAGGATCTGAAGACAGTTGGAAGGTGGACCCATTCAGAAACATCCAAAGGCAGAAAATAACTCACCCCCTTGATTATTATTGGACTGATATATAGGACAAATATCAAACTCCGAATACAAAAATAAAATGAAAGAGGAGGTTGGGGTAAGCGGAATAAGCTACAATATTTCCAAGGGAAAATGAATCAACTACTTACAAATCCAACATAAAATTGTTATGTAAAATTGTGATAGAAATTAGAACAATTATACAAAGTACGAAGAACAATAATTAATTGATACAAAAAAAGAGTAAAAATGAGAATTACCGACAAATTGAATACGAGCAGATTGTCATATATGAAATGGCAGACATACCGAGGGAGGGGTTGCTTCCAACGAAGAAAAATGAGATTTTGGAATGATAAGTGAGTGCCTATAGAACATAGGCATCAGTTAAGCAATCAACTCAAAGTTAAACTAACCTCAACGTAAGACTAAATGCTTAAGCATAAAGATATGACAGACAAAGATTCTTATCCATAACAGCTCACAAGCATGGGACCTACAGCAGGCCATCACCATATTTTGTCATGTACTTTGCCTCCAGCTATTCAAGTTTGAATTAAAATTTTGAAGGCATATGCACAATGTTTTCACATTCATCAACACAATGCTGTGCTAAGTTTTATGTTGGCTTTCATTCAGTATTAGAAAGACAAATCTAAAACTCTACAAGAATATTTACCAGCTTCCCTGCGTCAATCATTTAAAATGAAGTCCCAACAACTCGCAACAAGTAAATATTTAACCCAATAGATATATGATGAGATTTCAGTGATGAAGCTGTCTAAGCATTTGCTTTGTATGAAGCAGGCAGTCATTATTGCATTTTTTATACAAAGAGAAAGGAAAAACTGCCTCGCGTGTAGAAAACTTCTCTTGAATGGCCTTTTCTTGATGGATGCATCAGGCAATGGATTACATTTTGAAGATAGTACAAGCAAATCACCAAATCAATGCAAAGTTCAACAGAAGCGTACTAGCTGATAGGAGGAACAATGAAAAGGGAAACACATAAAATTTAAAGTTTAACTGAATCGGTAACAAATTTCAGGAAACAGCTGTTACAATGCTTAAATGCAGAAGTTCTAATACTAAGTGTTTTAACATTGCCGAAAAATACGATGCCCATTTCAATTGTATTATAAATGAGAACAAGTGTTGATAAGATGTCAATTTAGAACCTATTTTATGTGATAGAGGCCTTACCCAACGCTTAAAGGTTTGGCATCTAAAATGCATAGGCATATATTATCCTCATAAAGCTGCACATGAGAGCAAAATAAAAAAGGATCAACAGAACGATGAGAAAGATTGACAAGGAACAGTCAACATGCAAAGAGCTAGTATAAGTAGAAGCTAAAACATGAAAGGTCCTCAAGCAACAAAGTATAAGTAGAAGTAAAATCTGAAAGAAAGAGTTGGAACATGAAAAGGCTTAACAATAAGTTAAAAAGTGCAAAGAGAGAGAAATTTCGTACAACCCACTAACCCAGTTAACTTTAACACCCACCAGCCTGGAACCCATAACAAGTCTTGTTTCCTCATCCACTCAAAGGGCCTGATAAACATAAGAGGAGGCAATGATTTTGTCAAGGAAAGAACAAAAACGTTATAGGGGGTCCTAATTGGGATTTTCGAATGAAAGAGGCATATGATCTGAGAGGAAGGGAGTTATGGGGGGCTAATGTTTGCAGACCCAATCCCCAGTGAGGAGTAAGTTTATTGACAACGAAGATATCATCGTAATCCTTCCCACCAATCTGAGATTGCCAGAACAATGTTTTTCTGACAATGAAGGTTCAAAGGAGCCACTGATACAATTTCCCAGCGGACTCCACATCTCGCACAATCTATCATAAAACGTGCTCCTATCCAGATTTTTCCTAGCAGCATTCTCCAATAGACATGGACTTCTGAATGCCATAGAAGATGCCTGAGGCAAATTCATGCAGCTAGAACCACCTCTTTCAAAAATAGCTACAAGTCAACGAATATCAATATCGAAGTTCTTCCAAGGAGCCATGTACCTCCAGCTGTCCTTCAGAGGAAAATCAAGTAAGATGCAGCGAGTTAGACGACCGGGCTGATCATCTTCGAGCAGCTCCCCATGTCTGCACCAAAGAGCATTGTAGCTTGTGGAAGCAGTCTCAGAAATTGAGGAGGGAGGTCAAGGGATCGCCGGGTATGTGGCTGACTTCTTGGATGCATCCATAGAGAGCACTAGGGAGCTTCAAGCAGTTATCAATGAGTTGCATGACGTGCTCCAGAAGGGAAAATCACGCCGGCAATGATGGAGGAGAGGATTAGAGATATCAAGGCTCGCGAGCATCGTCTCTTAGACTCTTAGGATCTTCTTCATCACCTTCAGCCCTGAAACCCGACCCCTAATACTAACTCCATTCCCTTCCAATACACGGAATGAACAGAGCTTGGGAACACTCATTCCGAACCTTCAAACTCAGACTAAGGTAGGCAGATGGTGGAAAAGAGAAAAAACAAAGATAAACCAGGCAAGACAACAGAGAAGGAAAGAGATCCACAAAACCAGAACTCAGAGGTTAGAAAACACAAGTGGTCGCACCCAATTTGATATTGTTGTGAATAACTAAGTTTATACTTATTTTATCTGGTATTTAAATTCCTTCGGACTTATTTGTCTTTTCCCTTAATTAAGGGCAGTTTTTTAGTTAAAACCTTCAGGTGACAATACAGCGACCATACTCTCCATCTTCCTCATCTCTCTCCTCTACTCTCTCTCTCTCTCTCTCTCTCTCTCTCTCTCTCTCTCAAACTTGATCTATCTAATACTCAGGAAGCTTGGGGATATGTCTTTGAAACATATCCCTTACATTCCCTTATACTCTTATATTCTCATCAATCCATTTTAGGCATGCTCTACATTCCCTAGAATACAAGCAAGATTGGTCAGAAAATCTCCCTGGTATAAGTACAATGAACGCTATTTTGATATTAAGGGTTGGGGAGTTAAGCATATTTCTTATGCCAGATATGTTACTTGCTCCACCCCAAAAAAAGATATTTATTACTCGGAGAAGATGAAGAAACTGTTCAAAAGAAAAATTATTAGGAAATTAAACTTTACAAGAAAATGATTTTGGTTTCAATATATTAAACTCAAAATTGAAAGAAATTTCAATATGTTGGTTTAATCTCCTATCCCCTTGCAAAACTAGCTAACTTGATAAATCTTTGCTAGGATCCTTCAAAAGCTAGCACAAAATCAACTTTGATGCTTTGCTGAGAAAATCCACAAAGCTTTTGTCAACTTTCAAATTGAGAACAAAATTAACATGAGTTTAATCCCCTTAGAACCAACATTGAGCTGAGCGCAATGAAAATCCATCTAGAAAGTAACCCTAGCATGTCCGTATAATTCAATAAGACCTTCAAGAGATGTCCCTTGAGCAAATGGCCAAATTCTTAAACCATTGTGGCAAGAAAACCACTGAGCCTTGTTCCAATCCAACATAAAAGTTTCCTTCCTCAATTTACTTTCTAAGAAAGGAGCATTCACCCAACTGGCCACACTTGTAAGCATTTTCCAAAAAACCAGTGTTATCAAGATCATACTGGCCACCGAATTAGCAAGGGGTTTGGCCCATGCCAAACCGGTCGAACCACTGCTCAAACCGGTTGGACCAGATTTTAGGAAAAAGGATAAAACAAATAGATATAACAATTTAATATATAAAATGCATTAAAAAGTTTCTAAACTTCATTTACCTAGTTGAACAAATTACAACTGGTTGGTCTAATGGGCCAAAACCGATCAAACAATGGTTTTGATTGCTTTAAGACCAGCCCTAATTTTACCTTCAACTAGACCAGTCAAGGCACTAATCGTTGGTCGGACCAGTTGGACCAATAATCTGATCCGGTTTTGATAACTATGGTCAAGATTGGACCGGATTGGTAGTCCAACCGGTCAAACCGCCGACTGGTGGTTAGGCCAGTCTGGTGGTTAGGCCGGTCTAGTCCAAATTTAAAACTGGATTTGGTAAAAAACCGGTCAAAACTAGTATTAGACAGGTTTCGGTTAGTCCAACCAGCCGGTTTTGACCAATTCGATAGGCTAAAAAAAGTGGGGCAACTTTTTTTCTAATATATTACATATATTTCAACTATTATTCATATTTTTAAAATCTGGTCAGACCGGTTTGATCGGCAGTTAGAGAGGTCTGGACTAGATCAAAACCTGCACCGAATTGGTGCCCAGTTCAATCTTAATAACATTGTCCAAACCCATTGTTATTCAAGTCAATCTTAGCCTCAAAATCTGTTCTATATGAAACTACTTGGACAAATCCATGATTGGTTTGGACCTTATTCATTCCTTCAATGCTTTTTTATAACATCAGTCAATGGTTTGGATTCACATAGCTTCAAATAACAATTACCTATCATAAAAATAATCTGATATAAGTAATTGCCAATTTCTCGCATTAAATAGGTGAAATGGAACATTTGGCATGCTGTTTCACCAAATGATGTGAAAAACCCCAAGTCATTTCCAAGTGTGTATAAATATTATGTGAAGTATAGAATGCCTAAAAGGCCATTGGGCTTTAGTCTACTGATGAGAACCATCAAACATCTAAAGTACAAGGACAAAAATCCGTGTCTAACTTGGATTCGAAGAATCCGACACACCTACCTATATTTTGCCAAGTTCAATACGATCCTTCCCGTACAAATCCATAGAAAGCATATGTGCATATATATATTTATATAATATTAATCTGTGATTTTTTTTATGATAAAATTAACTTCACAAAACATGTCGGTCTAAGTCAAAGATACATAAGTCTATATCATAGACTTGTGCACCCAAGTGTGAAGACAAGGTTGCCCTAAAAAAGGGATATGCATCTTACAATCCCACATGTCTTACAAAATGGACAACTTGTCGTGTTTCTCTTATCTGCAGACTCACATGTCCAACTAGCAGATACACTGTGTCTTTGAACCCAAAAGAATAAAAAAATTTCAAACATTCAACATGGACTTCCGGTGTAGTATGTGTCTCTTGCATGTGACACACATGTTTAGTGTGCTGGTGGGTTGGATTCTCCTAAATGTACAGGACATGCATGTTGCTGTTATTTTTTTTTTTTAGAATGTTAACTTTCATGCATGTGGTTGTTACATAGCATGAATCTAGTTTGAGCCTATAGTTTTCTGCACCGTTGCAAGCAACTTTTGGTGACTTGAAAACAAATGTCTAAAGATCAAACTTGGAAGCTGGCCACCAAAACTACGTATGCTAACCTCTCCTAAATTCCTAATCTTCAAAAAAAGTCAATTTCAAAGCAAATGATCAATCTCAATGGCTCTCAAACCTTGGAACAAAGAAATGGAAGGCAGTCAAATTAGGACCATTCATTAAAAAGAGGTTCCCAATTCAATCACCACAAATGAAATCAATGAGAAGGGGCTTATACGTTTCCAATTTCATTACTATTAATGAAATCATTGAGGAAATAGGCTATAGAATATTTCGGTGCTTTCTATCATACTCCATATTATTCAAAGAATTTTGTGATTATTTTATAGCTACCAATCATCATCATCAAAAGCTTTTCCCAACTATTTGGGGTCGGCTACAGGAATTCTGGTTTGCCATTGTGCTCTATCAAGCGCCATACCCTCAGTGAGGCCATAAGTCCCCATATCTTTTATACTATTCCCAACCATGTCCTTTTTTAGCCTTCTACTTGAACTAACTCGCACCTCCTAACAAGTGTTGTACTGGGTCTGCGCTGCACATGGCCAGCCCACCTAAGTATACTTTCTCTCATCGTATAACCTATTAGTGCCACAACTAAGTTCTCTCAAATGTATTCATTTCGAATTCTATCCCTTATTGTCTTGCCACTCATCCATCTCAACATCTTCATCTCAGCTACACTCATCCTATGGGTATGTTGCTTCTTGATCACCCAACATTCCATCCCATAAAGCAAAACTGGTCTCACAACTGTCTTTTCAAACTTACCTTTCAGCTTCATTTATAGCTACCAATGCATCATACTTATTTTTTGTTTAATTTACATAATCACATTAGATTCAATTCTTAAGATGTATGAATAACCATAGAGTTATGTGGCAGGGGTTGTTAGCCTTATCACATTACTACAAGAAAATAAGGAAAATAGAGAAGAAGAAAATGTTGAAGTGCTTAGAGAAGGAGACACACAAAGTGCAGTCGGTAATTAAAAAAAAGGAAAAGTAAACAAAAAGACCATTTACTTTTAGTATAAGGAGGTTACAAACACTCTTATCCGTTAGATTTCAAATTGTGTAGTTGTAAGAGTGTCATGGACTAAACTCAAAGATCTAAAAAAAAATATTTCTTAAACTTTGTGACAAACTCCAAGCCATCTAATTTGACATCTAATGACTAAAAGTAATTGGGACCTCCTTGTAACAAAGATAAATGGGTCTCATATTATACACTCCCCTAAAAAAAAAGAAAAAAGAATGGGTATGAAGAAGAATACCTTGAATGCAGGAGAATCACCCACAACAATGGTACAAAAGACACACTGCTTCTCATCATCATCAATTCTCCTAACCTTGTTGTCCTCCTCACTATTGTTATTGTAACTGAAACTTTGGGAAGCAGTGGACAATGAATTCAAAACTTGTTGCGAAAGCGAGTGTTGTTGAGAAAGATGAGAAGAGATAACAGAGAGTCTTCTCTGAGTAGTAGCGGCAGAGATTAATGCACCAAGATGATCATCGCAATGTTGGCCCTCTTGGATGATGATATTATCTCGTGTGACCATGAGGTGGTGGTGATGGTTTTCCATAATTATGCTTCCTTTCTGCTCACTGCAAATGCTGCGGGATTCAGCATAGGAGAGCTGGGTTGAAGATGTGGTCCTCTTTCTCACTGCTTCTGAATTAGAATAATAACAACAATAATAGACTCAATCCACATCATCATTTCTTCCTCTGCTTGTACAGAAGAACTAAAGAAGAGAGGCAAGAAGATGTTTGGGAGCTATAACTAGGGTAACTCTCACTCCCAAAAACCAATCGATATAAATAAATATATATATGCACACACATGCAAGCACGCGCGTGCACACACACACACACACACACACACACACACATATATATATTTACATACATACATATAAACAAAATAAAGTTGTCCACTGCACAAGCAACAAAAACCACTTCATTATCAAAATAAATTATGATTTCTCCAGGGTAAAATTCAAGCTCAAAGATAAGTTCACTAGGGCCAAGAAATATTAATATTATAACGTCCAGTTGTTATTATGCCTTTGAAAAACAATTATAAGCTCAAAGATGAACTTATTCATGTGTGCTCTGTTGCAAACACACTGGCGCGCATGTACAACCAGCATGTTGTGGCCTGTGCACGAGGACAAAACATGTGTCCAGAGCATGCGGCTGGCATATCCGGTATGATACCTGCCCACCCAGCAATCCAATAAAAAAAGGAAAAGGAATAACAGTCATTGTGCAGAGGCAAAAATCTTATAGAGGGATCCAGAAATCACAATCTAGAACTTTCTGGGAAGTTTATTGAAAATTAGAGAACCTCTATCTGTGTGAATTTTTCATTTCTGATTGTAATACCCAAAAGAAGTGTTCAAATTGAAAAAGTTGATCAAGAAATCAGTATATAGATCATTTTAGAAAGATTTTGTAAAATCATATAACCTCTATTTCAGTGGTTTTTTCAATTTCCGATTGTTACTACTTAAAAACAAATAAAAAAATTGTCCAAATACAAACAATAGAAAAATATCTCTCAAGAAGCAGTTTCTAACACAGTAATCTTAAATGGCCATAACTCTGCATTAGAACAGTGTTCTAAAACTCATCGAGCCAGGGTCAGAATTCACCCATGTCATCCAGAACCAGCAGTTTCCTGATGACCCCAACTTGGGCAACCTAAGTCTTGATCGAGTCTGCCTAGGTCTTAAAAAAAGAAAAAGAAAAAAAAGAAGGTGATTCTGGTCCTTGTCTTGACTGGTCAAAGTTCAAACTGAGGACTGGGCGAGCCAACTCAGGCCCACTCCCTAACCAGTTCTGTGTTTTACAACAATGCATCAGAATATTAAAGTCAGCGATCTAGGGCTCTAGAGAAAGCTGGTTCAGAGATCTATAACTTTTATTTCACGCAACATTTTCAAATCTAAGCTTTTTAACTTAAAATTTTGACTTAAAAAGTAGTGATGGAAAAACTTCAGTATGTATTACTCAGTAAAAGGAATTGCCGTTCATGATGTTTCCGAAACAAACCAAAACAACGAGAGAGAACCCAATTGTATGACTCCCCAAAAGAGGTGAATTGCTATGACATTGAGTCCGATAGCAAAGTATATTCAAAATATTGGATCAAGCACACAATGGAAAGAATTGAAAACGGAAATCAGGATGGTGATTACTAGCATTTTTCACAGATTCTCCTTCTCAAACTCATGGTAGAGCGGTTTCCTCAATCCAAAGGTCCTCCTTCAACTACAAGAACAAATGATAAATCCTTGAGCCAGTGATGGATAAAGACTTGAACAACTCTTACAATAGCCTAGAGGATAGGGATAGAAGAGCCTCTTCTCTAAGCTCTTAGAAAGAGAGAGACAATGAGAGAGATCAATAGGGCGGGGGAGAGTCACGTTGGGAGTCGAAGGCAGGCCCCACTATAATATTTTCTGGTTTGAAGTACATAGTCTCTCTGACCTCTTATGTCTAAGCTTTGCATTGAGATGACCCATCACCCATAGGGACAGACTCATCCCATATGCCCAACAAGAGTTAACATCATATGAGTTTAATTTCCTTTGTCTAGAGAATGGATTTTGCAATCATATATAGACACTAGGACAAAATGGTGTAGCACAGAGCAAATGAAGACATGCATAGGTCTTTGAAGTATGCAGATGTTGAATTCATGCTAAGAATTCGCTAACAGAGCTATGGACTAAGGCTAAATTGTGTGCATCACATGCTGAACCAATTTCCTATTGCTCATAGATAGAATATGATTTCAAATTGCTATTTAGAATGTAGCCATAAAATATTCTCCTTCCCAATCTTATGACTTTCATGTCCTTTACAATTTTGCTTATTTTTACATGTATGACTTCTATGGCACCTGAGCAAGAAAACACTATGTCATGTAAAATTCTCTATATTACAAGTGACGACCAGCACCTTGTGATTCCAATTCTCTTTAACAGAAATTAAGACCACTATCATGTAATTCCATCTAACTATAATAGATCTGAAGAAAAATAGACCATAATCTAAATTATGGTTTAGAAATGGCAAAGATATCAGTTCTATGTTTATGGTTGAGGCCTTGCCCACTCTCATATAGTCAAATATTGGCAATTTTAAGGTTTATAGTGGTTGTTATATATCAGTGTGATGGCCATTATATCACGTTCTTAATATTTGACAGGCGATATAAGCCTAATTATATCCCATTATATATATTATAAAATCATTATTTCTTCAATAGATAAGTAAATAAAAAAAGGCAGCGCCGATATATCTATTATAAAGTCATCTAGGAGTGGCAATCAGATCGGATCGAACCGATCCAGATCCGGTGTCCAACATGGACCTCTATCGCGCCAGGTCAGTTCCGGATCAGGGTCAACCCAACCCGCCCTGCCCCTGCATTAAATATATAAAATATAACATTATACAATGTAAAAAATATCAGATCTGACTTTTTTCAAATATCACCCATTAGATAGTTATATTATTGAAAAGTAATTACAATTTTCTTTTCCCTTTTTAAACCCTGATATAGAGGCCGATATTGGTATTTATCAGTTCAGCCCCAGCCCATCCAAACCTTGATAATGGTATTCTAAAAATTAGTTTAAATGTTTCACAATAACATTAAAATGATGCTTTGTTATAAAAAGAAAATATTAAGATTCAAATGCCAAACCCTACGTTAGAAATCTGGATTAGGCTTGATTGGTTAGTTGTTAACAATTGCAAAATGGTGTCCCAATTTTGATTCCTGCTACTGAACTGCCCAGAAGAAAAACTTCAAACACTATGCTGAAGATACTGAACAATTCAAGCATTTATGAAATGATTTCAATGCTTCGGCATTCTTACTAAGTAGGGAAGAGGATGGAAGTCAGCTCAAAGATATTGGAAAATTCAGTCGTTTTGAATGGCAAAACTATGGAATTTGGCTCCTTTGCTAAGTGTTAAGAGGCTTAAGGGGCCAATGATGCTAAAGATAAAATATTAGCTTACCAACTGAATTAATATTAGCTTACCAACTGAATTAAAAAATGGAACAGAGAGAAAAAGAAGATAAGATAGAGAGAAAGAGTATGTGTGTGACACTAATGAAATTACACACACACGCGTGCACACACATGCACACAAAGGGGAGGAAGGAAGGTAGGGAGAGGAGGGGGAGTGATGTTTGGAGTGTTACTTATGAGGATAATGATTACAGAATAGGAAACAAATTTTCATTACTAAGAAGGCTGGAAAGCATTGGTTGGGAGACCCAAATAAAGATCATATTTTGTTTGTAGTATCAGCAATGCTTAACTAGATTAGTTATATTGAGACTAGACATGTTTGTTATTGAATTTGAGACGAAATCTTCATAGGTTGCGATAAATTCATAACAGTTTAACAGTAAATGTCCCGGCTCTTATTACCTGAATACACAGAACTCTTTTCCACTCACTATACAAAGTTGAATTTTTACATCTATTGAATGAAAAGGTCAATTCAATTACCAATAAAACAATGAAAGTTATGGGGTAAAAAAGCTGCAGGAAATCAAAAAGAGAGAATTCTTGGCCATGGAACAGCACAAGAAGGAAGCGAGCCCTATAAAAAATGTCATCCATGAATCATACTGGCATAAATTCAAGGGTGAAACTTCTTCATCCAAAATAGTTGAGGCACTTTTCTTCACCACAAATGAAACCCAACTTTTTATTTTACTCGTTAACTTAAACAAATTACATCCCAGTTTGGTGTAAAAAGACAAAAATAAAGTATGGGGGAAGACCAGAACCAGCTGATCTCCATATGCCCATAAGAAAATAATCCAGAAACCTCTTTTTGGGAAACCATAAAATTTAACAGTTATGCATGTTGGCTCCGGAACTCAAATCTCAAATCAATAAGTCCACCAATGAATCACCAGAAAACAAGAACACCATCATAACAAATTAAGCAGGGAGAGAGTCCTACACAAACAAAACCAAGCTCACAAATTATCAAAGGGTAATTGATGAGCTCCCACAAATAGTGAAGGGCAATTGATGAGCTTACCTTGAAAAGCAAAAAAATAAGCTTCACTTCAAATATTCTTCAGATTTCAGAAGCCTTTGGTGCCCAAGCTCTCCAAGCAGACAGAGGGAGACAAATGGGTCTTGCCTTTTACATCTCATTTCTATGAACCTAGAATATTCTTCATTTGAATTAAAAAAAATAGAGTTCTTGGCTTTTGCTCAATATCCACTTAATATTTAAAAATAAATTTATAAAAAATAGATGCCGGGCCGTCAGTATAAGAGTAAAAAGGCTCCAGTAGTGAGAGCAAAATCGTGGGCTCGAATCTTCAGAGACCACACTTTGTGCATAAACCAAAGTGATTGACCGTTTCCAACCCACCTAACCTGTGACCTTGATTAAGCCGGATCGGCACGGGATTACGGCCCTTAGATGCCATTTGAATGAGCCCCATATTGATTACTATAGGAATCAATTAACTTTTTTTTGAATTATCATTAAATTTATCAAATTCAAAAGTCAAAAAAAAAAAACTCATTAATCTCCTATGGAGGGATCTGATCTGGGTTTGGGAAATTTGAATGCCAAAAATGAATTATCACAGCAAAGTGAAAGCAAAGGAGCACCTGGCGGTCTTCCTTTTCCCTTTATTTTCACCCTTTTGTGGTCATGGTTTCAATTAAAGATAATGGGGTTTTCTTAAGCACGTTTACTAATGCCTGGCTGGAGCAATACTATACATCTACTCCCTCGGTCAAAAGACCTACTTAAGGAGATTTTTCTTTTTCTTTCAAATTAAACATTGAACTACCTAGCTGATTATTTTTTAAAGAAAAAAGTGAAAGTTAAGTGTTGTAACCCTTAGATCTCACTCTCAAAATATTGAACAGTCTCTATTCAATCTTGAGACATTTATTTTTTTGAAACGCATAGATTTGTTTTGTTTTTGGTTCTTTTATTGAGATTAGTCTATGGACTCTAATTTAAGGGTCCTGAATTTATTCCTATATTGGGTTTTATTCAAGAGAAAGTGCATAGAATGTGTTTTTTTTTTTCTTTTTTCTTCTTTTATTGAGGTTAATCTATGATTTGAAGAGGTCAGTCCTAAAGTTTGTCTTATATTGGGTTTTATTCAAGAGTAAATGGACAAGTATACTCCCACAGAGTATGAATCATGTGGCTTCCTTTCTTTTTTTCCAAATAAGATAAGCGGTCATTTTTTCTAGGAAATTCGATTATATTATTATATTAAAAATCGTCCATTTTTATTGTACACTCAAGTTTCGCTTTTTTATAGGTATTAATGTCCAAACCCAATTTATTGTAACCGACCCATTTCGTACATCTACTTATTTTATGAAATTCAGATATGCAATATTTAGACTAGGTCTTCTTTTTTAAGTCAAGCTTCAAGTATTGGATTACAAAGTCAATTCCTTGTAAGTAGGCTAATTCTGACATCTGACATCCAAACCCACAACTTTCTAAAAAAGACAATTAAAAAGGTTGGGGAGTTGTCTAATGGGAGCAAATTGTACATTTGGTCCCTCTAAATTGGTCTTTTATTTGAGGAGTCAGTGTATAATACGCTCCCATAAGAGCACACTAATTGCTCTTTTCTAAAGAGGATGGCTTTGGTGTTGGAACCCATTTGATTTTTAGAAAAGTATGGATCTAAGCCCCTCGAATAAAAGACATATTCAGCACAACTGTGTACAATTCCCACAATACTATCTAGTTTCTAAAAGTATGAGTTCACATATTAGATATCTAAACACAATCTTTTCTAATTTTAGGGAGTGGGGTTTGACATTGGTATATCCGAACTGGCTCACTTGCAAAAACCGGGTTTAAGCATCGAATGTCTGAATTGGTTTTTCACTAAAAAAGGTACGTTATTTGCACATTAGATGTCCAAATCGAAGTAATTTTCGCATTAAAAATCAAATAGGGTCTTGAGAATAAAATAGAAAATGTATAGGAACTTTTTTAATATCGAGATATAATGAGATTTTTTTTGTAATTTTTCTTTATATTCGATTTAAATTGGATCAAAGTTGTGTTTTCATAGGTAAATATGATAAGGGAGATGTGTGGGAGTTCCCGCCAACGATTAGACTAGATATTTAGAAGGGGACAGTCACCCGACTCGTATATAGAAATGCACCCCCTACCTTAATAATCCAAATTTCTTTTTGAAATGGATTTTGGCCCCTAATTTTTAAGGAATATATAAAATCTAATTTCTAGATCATTAATATGTAAAAAATAATAATTTTTAAAACTAATAAGTTTATGAAGGAAATATTGGCCATTGTTTTTCAATTTTTTTTGGAGCGACCACTGTTTACATCCATCTTTGGGATGGATGGTTTATGCGTTGGGGGACACAAATGTTGGAATGCGCCCTCCAATGCATATAACACTTTTTGTTTAAAAGGTATTAGGATGGTGATTACTGGTAATTAGATGGTGGTCACTAGAGAGCGGAGTAACCGCCCATTCCACCACATGGTACATCTCCGACGATTGATGATACATTCACGATGAAATAGTCTAGGAAGTATTGTAATGTACCTAGGGTACTAATCAGGCCGCGCAGCCCGGTGCCCTAGCCGGCTTTGAACCCTCTTCAAGGCCATTTTAGGCTATGATTGGGTGGGTGTAGGAAACAGCTCAAGTTGACCTACCAGCCTACTGAGTCAACTCCATTCGAGTAATGCTGGGCTTTATGGGGAGGTCGGATTCCATTCTCACCAAAGTGTAAATCCGAGATCTCCATTGATATACCATTTAACTTACCCAAAATAAAAATTCGATTCGGGTATCGATTTGGACTTGATGGTTCAGGCTTTGAGTCGAGCATTGAAGAATAGAGAAAAGAAAGTAGTGGCATTATATGGGAACATTTAGTTGCCTTATGATCATGGTATAAAGAGGAAAGTATGAAGGCTTGTGAAAGTACGAGACATGGTATAAAAAGGAAAGTATGAGACATGAGGACGCAAGGGTGGTTCTCGAGTTCACTTTTTGTACTTTGCATGCTAATAGAGATGAGGTTTGTGACTCGCTAATATTTTTTCGAGTCGTTGCCGTTGGATGTCGTGTAGCAGTTGAGACACTTAATAGCTGTTTAGAAAAATGACTATGGGATGTTTAACAGCTAATGATTGTTGGGTAGTTACAGCCATCAAGTAATAACAACACTACTGAGACAACAATTAAATGTCTCTACTTAAAAAAGTCACTTTCCTACGATATAAATAGTGGCATGATGGTCCACAATTTTTATACTTGTTTTTTTTTTTTTACTACTTTTTCTCTCTCTACAAATAATCTAATGTTCTAATGTATTGAATCGGCAAGATTACTTTGAGTCCCTCCATTTTTAGGTTGTCCTGATAACTAATTTGCATGTCACATCACTTAAAAGGCAAATATAATCTTGAGACACCACCTTTGCATGCTTTGAAATTTCCAATTGACTTAGACTGACTTGAGTCTGGGTCGACTTAGAGCATCATACCAAATTGGGTCAGGTCTAGTTTGGAAGGACCTAGTCTTGATCCAAAACATTTTACAGCCCTAGGTCCTAGCCAAGCAAATCAAGCCCATTGCCTCCTCAGGCTAGGTTTGGGCCAATCTTGATTTGGCCCATGAGCCACTTTATTCCACTCTATTGTGTGTATTGCATGGCGTGGTGTATAGACTACATATTATATATTGATAAATTTAATATTATATGTAATTGTAAAATTGCACACCATAAAATTATCTATCTTTAATACATGAAGGTCACAATCACCACTTGATATTAGTAAAGTCAGGCAACTGAGGATGCGTCATTCCTATACACAAATTTTGTAACAAAAGGAAAGAAATTATCGAATTTTGTAAAAGGTAAATAGCTCAACCCCGAGCCACTTGATTTCATGTTTGATGGCTTGGGATAATTATGTTTTCTTGTATCAAATATAAATAGTGTACTTTCTCTATGATAATACATTTAAAAAATAAAATGCGATAAAAACAAAAAAATTCAAAGTTTAGAAAATAGACTATTTATCTTCTCTCTCCTCTCTTTGAGCATATGCCCCTAAGCTTGAGAGAGATGAGTTTTTACTATTTTTAATATTTTTTAAAATTTAAGTGTGAGAGAGAGAGAGCCAGCCGAACTCCGGCCTAGCTCAACCGAGCCATGATTTCAGGCAGGGCCGGTCCAAGCCTAAGTTTCATTAAATATTTTTAATTGTGTCTTTGCCAATTTGGGCTTGAGCTTTATTTAAATATCAAGAAAATTACGTAAATATCCATTATAGTTTCCGTTGTTACCGAAATACTAAATCGTGTCCGTTATTACTCGCATGTCTGTTTTTTTCACTTCATAACAAATTAAAAAAAAAAAAATTTTACCTTTTGTTTTTAACAAATCGAAATGGCTGAGATTTGGGCTTTTCAAAAACCAAAAATTAAAACATTTCGGTTTTTGAATAACCGATAATTTTCCCATGAAAAACCCAATTTAACCCATCATACAAGCATAAATGAGGATTTTTCTTGATATTTGAGGGTTCTAAAAAATTTGTGTCCTCAATTAATTGGGGTCGGGACTCACTTTATAAAGGGGACTCATTTCTACGTATGAATCCTAGGATTTCTACGAGTCCCCTTTCTAAAATCCATGTTGAAACATTTTTCCGGTTAGTGGAGTACCACTCTTTCTTTTCTTGAACGTCGTGTTCCAATCAACCACCAGCTCCCAATTTCAAAGGCATAATCAATTGCACCTTACTCGATTTGAATATATAATAAAAATTAAGAATTGTATACAATGAGACCATTTACTTTTTGTATAGAGAGGTCACAATTACTTACAATAATCAGATGTGAAATCTGATAACTTGGGTGCATCACAAAGTTCAAAAAAAATTATTTTGAACTTCGAGTTTGGTCAATGAAATAAATACACTCACCCAATTTTACATCTAATGGTTAGGATTAATTGTGACTATCTTGTACCAAAGATAAATGGTCTCATTATATATTTCGCCATAAAATTATTCACACCGCTTTTCTAAACATACAAGTAGAGATTGCTAGTATGAAGTCTATGGCACACGAGATAGAGAGAGTAAGTAATTTCTTTTGTGGTGAACTTGTAAAGTAGTAATCGTTGAGAATTCTTTTTTTAGGTGAACTTGTAATTTTTGAGACGGAAGTTGGGAAAATCGGATTTAGAGCGCACTTTTTTCCAATTTTTAATAAAAAGCATAGGAAAAATCTTATATATCCAACCGTGCTAAAGAATATATTTATTTATTCATTTATTTATTTTTGTATGCTCAAGACTTTTTTGGGTCAAATTTTAATTTTTCTCGAAGTACCCCTAGGTTCAACACTGAACGGAATTTGCATTT